AGTTTTTTCTTTTGTTCAAAAGCCTTTCCTGTACGTATTTAATTAAAAAATGGAGGGAATGCCGTGCTCATGCATAAGGCAGGTGAAAAAACAAGATACCATTCCTCATACAAAATGCAAACGTATGTGATATCGAGTGCCTAGCAAAGGCCAACTCATCCTCCTAATCTGTTAGGCTGAATTCTTTTGTTTATTGAATAAATTAATTATAAGATGTACTAATATGGCTGTAAATAAACAAATTATGTTACTACTCAGTGGTTAGCACTATAGCCTGTTACCTAAATGACTCAGGTTTGAATCCCGGCTACCACCATGGGAATTTTTTCAGTGTCAGTTATTTGTATATCCTGAAGGTTACAGGTCCCTGAACAAATCATGGTAAATTGTTTCTAAAAAAAACGCATTTGGTGTAAAATAAATGATACTTTTTAATTATTCCATCCACATTTGGAATACGTCTTATATACGTATAAAATACGTATAATAATATATGTGAAAAATACGTATAATATTATATGTGAAAAATATGTCTAGTATACGGTTGTTGAACTTTTGAAAGTAGATATACCATCTGTTGAAACTTTTATTTGCGTTTATTATACGTACATATATCTATGTCAGATATCTTATATACATCTAGTATACATACATGCGTTTACCATATATCTCGTTTATGTATAATATTCAGAATCGTCCATGTATATTATATGGATGTTGAATGTTCAAAAATATGTATACTGTCTGTAGACGTCCCGGACATTTGTACATATCCCAGCACATCCCGTATATTTTTGTATACATCTATTACACGTATGTATGTTTATGCCAAATATCTTATATACGTATACCATATGTACTTATTCCGTACGAATACGTTATTAATGAAGTGACATTTCCGAAAGTAATATTCTTTTGACGTTGAACTTATGGATTACCGAAAACTGTTTGAACGTACATTTTTTAATGGATAACTTTACAGTACAATATTCCCTCCCAAAAGTGTCCGGATTAAGTGATGTGGATTCGTTGCATATTATATGAAATATGCAGTCACAGTTTTACAGTTATGTTTGATCATACTAGACTAGAAGTACATGTGTATGTAAGTGGATCCATTGATGTGCAAATACAATGAATTACTAAATGTAGGAAAATCTCATTTAACCGTTTGGAGCATTTAGAACTTAATATTCATGTAAAAATGATTAAAACCGCGGTCAAACTGGGGTTTAGGGGATCCACCTCCGATGACCTTGACCTTGACATATGTTGTTAAAGTCACCCTTCTCACTTATCAACTCAAGAGTTTAGCCGTCGCGCATTGTTTGTTAAAAAGTTAATAATAAAATAATTTTGTTGAATTGAACGTACACTTTTGTAATCGAATATATGTTTAAAAACTGTGAATATACGATAATAAATTATGCACATAACTTTGTGGGTCCTGAAAGTAGAGTTCCTACGCAAAATGTACAAAGATTATGGAGAGACATGCGAGGAAATATTCCTCGTCATGGTATCTAGATCATTTTACACATTATCTTGCTGAATACTTATTTATAAGAAGATATTATTTCGACGAGAGTATCGTGAAAAGAAATAAAAAAGAAAGATAATAAATCTTGAATTCAACTTCCACATATCGCGAGCAAAGCCGTGACGAGGATACTGTGATAGTATCAATAATTATCGAGTACATTTATTTGCAGGAAATAACTTACAGCTTTTCATGCGACTATTTCATGAAATATCAATTCACAACAATTTCTGTTGGAATATTCAGAAATGACTCTTTTGCTTTAATTTGTTGGATTAGAGTATGGACTTCTGTTTCTGGTTTGAGTTATAGCTAATTTAGAAAAAAAACGAACTTACTTTCATCCCAACGACATCTTCGCATTTTGACCACGCAAACAAATCCTTTGCTGCATCGAACGGTATCACAATTCGTAGGACCTTTCAAAGATTCTGAAATAATTCAATTATTGCTTTTAAACGAATTTCCTACTGCTAATTGTAAGTTTAAGGTGATGTGAAAGTGGCGTCAAAAAGGTGTGGTTTATGAAACTTTTCTCCGAACTAGGTGTACCGAATAGTTTGAAACTTTACAATATGAATATAGAGACATAAGGATGATTCTGACACGCATGAAATTTCTCGAGTGCTAGGACCTTCCTTATAGTCTCCATATTCACGTTGTAAAGTTTGAAACGATTCGGTACACCCCGTTTGGAGAAATGTTTTGTGAACTATTCAGAGTCGAACTCCTCAGAGACCACCTTCCACGAGATACGTATTTTTAAAAGGTGTATAAAAACATATGTATGAGTATTTTTTCTGCAAAAAGCATTCTGACGTTTTTTTGTACATCTTATCCATATATTAACCATATTCGATTGTGTTTTAAAGTTTTATTTATTTTCCTCGACGTTATTTCTAAAGCAATAAGTTAAAATATTTATTAGATCCTTTAATATTCTAACCTTTTCTGGATCTTGCACAGTACAGCATGTTGGGGCAGGGTGCATTTTTACACCAAAACTTTCGACTCATACATTGGTCCCCTTCTGCACATCGAAGGTAAGCACAACCTTTATGAAAATCAACGCTGGCATCGCCTATAGGAAGTCGTTCTGTTTTTTTATTCAATCCCAAGTTCCCGGGAAACCAATAAATTTAATTCAAATCTGATGCTAAGATATACGGTATGAAATAATTAGCTAGGTTCGCCGCAACAAGCGTTATCATTCTATTTAAACAAAAGTCCAAGTATTGTAACGTTAAATAACCATGTCAAAATGATCTTAAAAATGTCGATATATTTTTGCCTAGCGAAGAAATTAGTTCATCTGTATATCATCTTCAAACTAACAATCATATGAGAAAAGAAAATACATATTTTAGCGTTTGTACTATGAAATCAATGTGAATTAAAATCAATCACCATGTATTTAATGTCTAGAATGATGTGATTTTTAACTCTAATACAAGTGCATTTAATTTTCATAATTTTTTAATGGCTTTACGTAAATTTCAGAACCTGTCACTTAAGACGAGGAATTTTTCATCTTAGCGTAAATAAAGTACTCACAATTATCAAAAATATTACAAGTAAAATAAAATTTTATAAACATATACCATAAAATAATTGAGTACACAGAAGTAATGACACCCGTCTTGTTAAATACGTATATTATTAAAATGCCCACAATTCAAAAAAATATTCGTGAACTGAATATCACTTATTTAGTGAAGCCGAATTTTTTCATAATATGCAAAATGCATTCTGCACGATACATTTATCTCGATAATTGAATAACACATTTTAAAATTTCTTTACACCTGTGATATGAATGGACTATAACAGGAGAACTAAAATTATGCGCTATTTCAGATATTTTTATTGGAAGAAAAGGTGTAAACTGAGAAGATTGTTTCGAATTTAATGAAGTAACGTACCGTCTTTGAAAGGATTCTTTGCGAAGCCTTGCTCAACCAACAGCAGAAGAAGAAAGGTGAACATTTTTCTTCGACCGAATTGCGCAATGTAGAGGTCTGGTTTAACTTAGTATGGTGGAAGGCGAACTGCACCGAGAACTCTCGGTTACCATTAAGAGGCTACGCGTGCTCGTCGTGTAAACGTAAAGTAACAAGAGACAAAACACAGGACGTACTGTGTAAACGAATGTAGTGGTTATGCTATTTCAATGGAGTTTCATTACATTGAGCTTTGTTAGGAAAAAGCACTGCGTTCCATAAATCATAATTATATTATAAAGCACAATTGCTTCTGTGGTTACATAGAAACCACATACCTTACTCATAAAACGAAGTCGTTGAATTCAAGACTTTGAATACAATTTTAATTACATTATAATAATGTTACTACGTGTACGATTATGTAAAACAGCATATGATTTTGCCAAGACCTCACGAAATTCGAAGGTATTTTGTAATCATTTCGAAATGCTAAGAAAATCTGTTGGCATGTCTCGGTTTACATGAATAATTGAGCAATGTAGAATACATTTTGCCTAATTCTCAAGACTAATATTGCATGAAACACTATTTCGTGGTAATGCTTAAGTAAAGAATATTTACTGCATTAAAGGCAATTTGGCTTATCCTGCAAATTCAATACTGTTATATATTACACATTACGAGAGGTCTGTAGAAAATTAGTATAAAGTTGTACACGTTTCATAAACCCTTGTTCAAATTATTATTTATCTACAAGTTCCGCAAAAGATATTACGATTTTCAATACAGTTTCATCGACAGAAATGCGAGGTAGTATTAATGTTCATGTCGGAACTGATAAAATACTACGTTTCATATAAAGGATGTCCCAAAATTCACGCAAGATTCGAATTTTGCGCCATTTGTGCGGTGAAGTATTGCCAACGAAAAACGAGAAGACAGCGTGATAGCTGACAGTTCAGGGTTATTAAAAATGGAGCGCTACATGAAAGAACAACGCGTACAGCCCGAGAAACAATTCAATTACTGCATGAGTCATTTCCTGGTCGTGAAATTTCCCATTTTGTTGATCAGAATTGGCCGCTCAGATCATGCGATTTAACGCCGTTGGACTTTTTTCTTTGGGGTCTTTTGAAGTCTAAGGTTTATGCCAACAAGACCACCCACACCTTGAAGGAGGAAATTGAGCGCTATATCAACAAAATTCCGCCACATTTATGCAAAACGGTCATGGAGAATTTCAAGAAAAGAGTGCGTATGTGTCAGCAAAGCCGTGGAGGCCATTTACTCGATATGCTATTCCATACGTAACCCTATGCTGTATACTTTATGAATCAATAAAAAATTTACAATTTTTAATAATAAACCTGTGTTTTCTATCAAAATTACTTCTTGCGTGAATGTGGGACACACTTTACATACTCTATCAACGCTGAAGTCAATTGTGTGTATTATTACTTTAAGTATCAGTTGACAAGAGGTCAAGGCGTCGTTTTGCAAAATAAAAGATTTCTTCAGTCGCTTCATAAATTTATTGTCATTCGATTACAAGTGCGAGACGCATTAAATTTATACAACATACACCGTTGATGTGAATTCTTATGGCTATTTCTTAATAATCACAGTGCTACGTTTAAAAATTACTTTCTACATTCTAGGAAATAAACAATACACAGCCAGTAATAACACTGTGGTATTATGTTTGTAATTTTCTACTCTGAATTTTACGCGTGGTATCAAAAGTAGAATGACCACAATATGATAAAGATAAAAATACTTAAACTGAGCTCGTTCTTAACGACAAAAGGCACGAATGATCTGATAAAAGAGATAACTATATTATTTGTCGAAATTAAAAAGTACAAATGTCGCAAGCTAAGATAACGTGTAAAATAAATAAATATTAAGGAAAATAAAAATTGCACTCAAAATCCGCGAACTTTATCACATCCGTTGCTCTTCTTAAAACGCGTGCAAAAATAATTATTAATAAGTACGTCAAGTAAAGAAAGTGCATAAGTAAAACTTCCTTTTTCGTCATGAACGAGCTATCAGTAATCTAGAGGTACTTTAAAATACCAGAAGATCCGGAAAACCATTTATTCTCTAACAGTTTTCCTTTAGATAAGGAACGTTCTGAACCTGTTTTCCTTCGTTATAGCAGTGAAACGCGCTTTCGCGTTGTCACTGAAATTTCTCGTCGAAGTATTATTAAAAAAAAAGTATATTTAAGAGAACGTCATAGGACTCTATAGAAAAAGGAATATAACGAACCTGTTTGGATTTATGGTATCGTATTTTTAGTATTTTTGGCTGATCATTATTTTTGGTTACTTTAATTAATAGAGTCATATTTTATTTTTCGGCTAAGTGATCCTGAATTTGTAGAGTCATACATGATGGCAAATCAAGCCAAGCCGCTCCAGAATAATTCTGGCAATATCGTGAAAAACGAATCGAAAATCGTTACTAATTTCGTAACTATTTGGCGGACTTCGCGCGCAACTGGAGTATTCCAGCTAATGCACTGGTGAATCCGGCATTATAATCAAGAGTAACCTCGGTGTAGACATAATCTTCCCGGTGGTCCTGAAATCTGTCAGCTTCATCGGGACCCGATACGAGGGCACCAAAGAGAATTTGCGGATTGGGCGCTTTTCGGTCAAATTCCGGCCATCCACATGGTGCCGGTCTTTTCGGACAAGAGGATGCAGCATGATGAGGCTGTTGTGGAGGATTCTCTCCCCAACCGACTACATAGCTTCTGCCTGCAAGGAAAAATAATGAAACTAAATACTTGCAGAGTCATTAAGTTAACTGTAGCAATTATACCAGTAGTATTTTCCTTTTGCTTCACCTAAGCTTCCTTTTGCTTCACGTTAGTGCAGTGGAATAGTTTGAAAGATAATTATAGACAATAAAGATAAGTTATAGAAAATTAAATAATAACACAATTGATTGTCAAAGCCGTCGATAATGAAAATTGATTTTATTCCCACGAATTGGCCTTTCTGATCAGTTTAAGGTGTAATTTGTGCCCGTAATTGTAAAAATGGTTTGAGTAATTTTTTGTATTGAAAAATTACCCTCATTATTACAATTTAAACGGATGCAACATAAAACGTGGGATAAGTTCATCGTTTTTCAGATTTTTTACTCAGATCACTTTCATAATTACGAGCACTTTTTCAAGTAGTTTTCTGGATATTGAATTTATCTATTGAGACTTACCTCCACCTCCCAGCATATACTGAATTTGTTGTTCGGCAAATTCACGATATTCTTTGGGATCACCGACTCCTGGGCAATCTGCTGCTTGCAAGCAAACGAATGCCACATTCGCGGCATGACAAAGGGTTCCAAATTTGTCTATGTAGAGCAAGCCCTTCGGGGTTCTTTTCTGATGCCTAACAGAAAAGTTACAGAAGGCTTGAGCCGCATTCTGGTATTCCGGCTGTCCTGTCAATTGGGCTAAAAGAACCTAAATAAAAGAATCGATTTTAATGTTCTTTTCTCAATGATTTCTGAATAGAAAAAAATCCGTACACCGTGCACATTTAATAAGTTATTTCTTAGTCAACCGTCTCACTTGCCTGCACACCAGCGACTTTTTTATTATAGAAAAACTCGTTCGGTCTTTCTTTAAGATGAAAATGCTGATAGTGATGCTCTGCGTCTTCTAGATACCTAGAATCGTTGGTTGCCTTGTAGAGCCATGCTGCAGCCCAGGCCAATTCGTCCCCATAATCGGTGCTCTCGTAATACTGCGCAGCTCCTCTTATGGCCTCGTGATACAGACCGCGATACGTGTTAGCGAATTTGTAAAGTTCTCTGGCATGTCGAAGACATTCGAGACTGTAAGCTGGTTCGGTATTCTTGAAAACGATGCTGGAAGCTGCAAGAGCTGCTGCCGTTTCACCTGCCAGATCTGAACCTGTAAAATACATGCAAAATATATCAATACTTGCGACGGACCACTCTAAACTACACAAAATGTTTGCGTTCCGTGTAAAAAATTGGTAATAAACACGAGCTGATTGATGTTGCGAGACACCGACTTTGCAACTCGAGGATAATAAGTAATTACAAACATTAATAAAATAGAAGATGAATAATCTTCATCAAAGGGTCACCTGGATGTTCCGGGTCGATCTTAAATGCTGGTCTGGTCATATTAAGTTCTTCGGGTCTGCCCCAGAAGGTATGGTCCAAAGCGAAGTCGCCAACTTGACCGTAGAAGACGAGCTCGCTGACGTGACACTTGATGAAGTAATCCGTTGCCCATTTGATCGCATTTCGAAGCATCTCCGTCTGTCCCGCAAGTTCGTAGGCTTCCGGCCAACTGACTGCACCCCAAGCTAAGAGCGTCGTTGTGGAGGCCATCGTGAAACCGAATTTGACAAAGTCGCCAGCTGCTTGACAAATGAGTAAACTATTATCATACACGCCCAGATCCCTTGCCTTTTTCCTCCCTAAATTAAGCAGAAAAGATCTCCCTATTTTCATAGCAACACAAATTTGTATTTCTACTGTTCCTACCATCAAATATAAACATAGAATTCTTACTGTCACATTATTATCCGAACGTTTCTTATTTTTCAATAAATATAAACATAATTCTGGCCCTCAAACCGTCATTGGCGGAAGCCACGTGTCTGTACAAACATAATTTCATTACGAATCTCATCAGGTTTTGTTAATACATATTTCGGTATTTCTGCAAAGGGCAGGAAGGGACGCGTACCGTCGTAGTAACCTCCGGTGAGGTCCTCGCCGTCCAGGCCTCGGTCGTTCATGGCGGAATTGCCTCTCCATGGAACTCTGTTGCTCGCTGGGAGTTCTCCGGATCGCTGGGCCTCGTAGAACAGCAAAGAGAGTTCCAAGACTCGGGCATAGTCGGTCCGCTCCTCGATCGGCCGCACCCGAAGCCCTGGCGAGGACGGCCAGGCCTCGCTTTTGCGAATCGTCCAGACTGACGCAACCGCGATTACCTGCAATTAAATATTCGAGTCTCGATATTCGATCCGGCATGGTCGCTCACGAATTACTTATTCGCGGTGCATTCGCCGCCTCGTTACAGCGGGGAAGGAAATTTTTATTGGCGTCGCGCAACTCGCTACTAAGAAGTCGAGTCAAGGAACGCGGATCACTCGGAATTAAACGAATGGATTCTTTTGTCATATCGAGGCCGAAAAGACAATTTTTAATGATTCGTAAACCGAGCGAATTATTTCGAAATGAGAATTATGGCAGGATTTTAAATTGGCCAAAAAGTGATTTTATTCAGGTTATGTGTAACTCGAGAGAGCGCTTATAGGAGAATCAGTAGTTCGGAAAATGTGGATATTCAAATCATTTTATGTAAGTATAATTGGGTGCTTTCATTCTTTCGAATTTTCTTCTTCTTTCTTTCTTTCTAATTTAGCTTGAAATTAGTTTCGATACAGAAACAAAGTTCAAGATTGGAGCTTATTATTTACGTAATACATTCCAGGAAAGGAAGAGCTCATCGGTTCGGTGTCGTTTGTGGGGAGTAATATGATTTTAAAGGATTTTACATTTAGCCGCAAAATAAAAAGGATAAAGAGCTGACGAGTAGGACAACAGAAATTACGACAACGGAAGTAATTTACGTCGACTTAGTACAACGATTCAGCACCCATGTTGCATACTACAAAATTATAAGTAAATAGTGTTGTTAGTTTTAATTATTTTTATTTTCACGAATTCACCGAAATAAATGATACAGATTTACGTTTAGAAAGATAAATACAGCATCGGAAGGGCATCAAAGAGCTCTCCTACGTTTTTGCAAATATCTTCTTAATTTCAATAATTAATAGGCTTGCAAAAGGAAAGTATCTGGCAGTCTACCGCGGAATATTCGCAACTGGCGGCACTCGAGGCGGGCAAAGAGCATGGGAATAGAACGAGCCACATATTTACAGTGAGTATTGGCTCTTGTCACACAGAAATTACGCGGACGACGAACTCAAGATGTTCCTGGAAACGCTAAGCACGGACGAATAAAAAACTCTGTTCGGCAAAACTCACAAATGCTAGGAGGAATTCCAACACGTCCAGGCATGAGTCGCGGAAGCGAGCTCAAAAATCGACTCTTTTCAATCTCGGATGTTCGCGACAAATTATAAATCCCATAATAAAATGAAAAAGTATTCCACGCAAAGTATCAGGGTTAATCTTGGATCCTTAGACCATGTTGTAGAAATTTAACTTCGATCGGCTCAACATTCAAAACTTTTTAATTATTAGATTGTTTAATATCTTCAACAAATTTGCCTGAAAAATGCGAATGTGGATAAATCTTAAAACAGAGTAGACTCTTGTTTAAGGGAGTAGATCTTACTTTTTGGTACTAGTACTAACAGTGAACATGAAAGTATTGAATGAATGAAGTTCTTAATAGATATGTATTTTTTCATGACCGCTAAAGATTTACCATGATGTTATGTATTACAGATTTGTTGGTAGAGATAATGAATTCTCAAATAATTGCAGAATATAAAGCTATGGGAATAAATGTAACGATTATGCAAAAAGATCTACTATATTATATCGTCGTAATACCTACGAACGTTCAACTAATCTATGTGCTTTTTGTACATTAGCAAAATGTCGGATGAACTGCTGGAAAATTATTGATATCTTCAACGAAACTTATGTACTACAACCCATGACAATCCACTAAAACTTTAAATTCACTTGAACATTTTATTACGGGATACGTGTCTCATTTCTAAAAATGATAAAGGACGTTTTAAGAATCTTTAGTTTAAAGAGAAGAAAATGGCAGTTTGTGATGTAGGTATGTGTGTGTATACGTAGCATGAATGATAATCACGATAAAAGCCCACTAATAATTATATCGTAGAAGTCCACTGATAAATTGGCTGGATAATAAATAATTAGTTGGTATCAGAAGGCACAATGTACATTTGAGTAGTATTTGCCTATAACAGTCTTTATGAATTAATGTTTAAGCTCTTCCATTGAGCACCGACCTACATGGTGGGGATTTGGCGTTAATCGAGACGTTAAATGAATGCAAGAATAGTCCACGAAGGTAACGTATGTAAGAGAGATAACAACCGGACGTCGATGTCCCGTTACTGTTTCCTGTTAGAGGGTCCACTCCGATTGGCATTAGAAATCAAATAAGACAGATTAAAAGGACATAAGTGCTGACTGGTATGCCTTAATATTCTCTCCTATGATAAACTGACTTTTTCAAATTACACGTACAGTCACTTTGGGTATGTTTAAAAATGTGAAAAAATATAAAAATCGCATCACTTCTCTTAATCATGCTTACAGTCGTTGATACCGGTAGTATTCCCCTTTTGGAAAAGTAAAGCAAATAATGTCCAAACGTTTCCTGATACAATTATGTGTAGTCGGACCAATTTCTCTTTTAACTAAGTTTATCTATATCCCCAAATATGTTACGTCAATCAATAGAAATCTGGATATAGTTCTGCATGTAATCAACGGTTTTAAAATGAATTTTAGCGAAACAGAAATGCATCTTCAAATTCACCCATGTATCCTCGTTTCCGAAACCTATATTTATGTAATTCGGGACGAGGAAAAAATTTTCGTATAAAGTCTGTAACGGTTGGATGTTATCCGGAGAGATAAACTTTAGAAACGAGGACACAAATCAATGAGAAGAAACGCAGAAGTCTGAAAGGTCTCTACATTAAACAAACAAGAGTAAATAAATAAATAAATAAATAAATAAAATTAAAAGATGTTTAAATTATAAATCGAATAAAAAAAGAGATCGAGACAAATACAGAAACGAACATAAAAGAATAAATAACAAAATAATCGCGCTAACGGAAAATATAACAATACAAGAATAAATAAATATAAAAATAAATCGCTACGCCGGAATAGAAAGATAAATAAACAGAAAGATGAATTAAAAAATAAAATAGTACAAGGACAAGATGCAAATGATCAATCACAACGATTAGAGAGAGAGAGAGGGGCTTAACTTTTCTTGGAGGTGTGTGTGAAGGAGCGTTGGTGCGGAAATAAAATGAGTCGGCTTTTTAATGGACCGCCGATTAAAATCCAATGGCCGATACGCGGTCAGGCCTTGTAAGAAGAACGTGACAACAATTGACCAGATCGTGCGTCCACGATCTTCAGAGATTTCCTTAAAATTTTTATGAGCAGCCTTTGATAATAGCAGTCGACTTTCTTCTATCCAACGGAATATCGTTGAACCTCCTTGTTCCTTCTCTCTTCATCTCCATCTATCTATCTCCCTCCATCTCTCCCTTTACAGATTCTACTTATTACATATTGAAAATAACCGCTACAAGTCTGATTTTGAACGCTTGAAGGTTGGTCCGAGAACTTTTCTCCACCCTGTATACAATTTTAACAGTCACTTTTAACATAATCTTTCAAAATCAACTGACAACTTAACTCGCTAGAACTCCCAACGGTAACACCATAAATTCAACTGTGTTTTTGAAAATATTTTAGGCCTTAAGGTGAAGTGAAACCCCCTTCAAATCAGTCGATTCGAATATAACACTTTTTTTTAAGGGTATTGGACCAAACTGTCAGAAACTTTGACACATCACTCCTGATCATCTAAGAATTGACCTGACACATTCAAAATTTGGATTTTTCGAAAAAATTTGTTAACTTAGCCCAGACTAAAACCAAAATGGCGTCGAGCTCTCATATTTCGATCGATATATAATTATCGAAGGCTCTCATATGAGAAACGAAAGGGTCAGGACAATTTTATGACAATTTAGAACACTCTGGTAATCGATAAACTCGCATTTGAACGGGATAAAGGCAAAAAAAGTGTTGTATGCGCTTCTATGCTAAAACGATGGGAATACGAGGTCTCGGGGTAAAAATTTAATTGACTTGGAAATCCCAGATGGCGCAGGGTGTCCCTTTGCAGCTAATTAGAGTCCCAGAAAGCATGAATCCAGAGGATTTCTGGAGTTTTACTTCGATTTCTTGATATATTGTACGAAAACGACAGTTGGAGTATGCCATTTGATACAATATCCAATATAACATGACACAGCTGTCAATATAAAAACGAACGTCGGCAACATAGGCATTTAGAAAAATCTTCTTTATCGACGTCGATCAAGTTCCTCGATGCGTTTCACTTCACCTTAAGGTGACATGAAAATGGCGTCAAACAGATCTGGTTCGTAAAACTGATCTCCAAACTGGATGTGCCAAATCGTTAAAAATTTTACAACGGAAAATTAGAGGCAATAAGGAAGGTTCTGACAGCCATAACATTAAATTTTTTATAAAAAATAGTGAAAACGTCTCTAACCAAATTAAAAAAATTTGAAATATTATGAGTGTTAATATCTTCCTTATAGCCTCCATATTCACATTGTAAAGTTTGTAAAGATTCAGTACACCCAGTTCGAAGAAAAGTGTTACGAACGATTGATCTCTCAGATGCCGCTTTAGACTTCTCAGATAGCACCTTAAGACGTCCAATTCGTTAGATACACCTGTCAACCTCGACACAAGAATCGCGATTGTGAAAAGAAGTAAACTGCTCAAGGGCGCTAATTTTTCCAAATAAAAAATGGACGGAAACACAAAGATTTTCCCGGGTACAAAGCCTCTCCTTCACCTTATCGTTTCCTCGGAGCAGGCGGAAGGCGCGGTACAGACTTTCTCCATTTTCCCTGTGCCGACGTGCCACATTGCCTCTCGCTAGCGACGTCGTCGGCGTCGCGGCCGCGAAACAACGCGAGACGTTTCTTTCGCGACGGCGCGAATTCAAGCGGCGTGACGTAACGCCGCGCCGAGAGGTCTCGCGAGAACGGCTAAGCAGTAATCGCGAGCGCGACTCACCGTGACGCACCGCAGGAGGGCCTTAGGTTCCATTCTAAAGCGGCTATGTCGCTCGGCCAACTCCAGTTGGACACACGGGAGCTCATCACCCGCCGACGGACGAGGGATCGGTTACCGGGCTCATGCCGCACGTTGCGCCGATCGCGTCGCTCGCGCGATTCTTCGATTTCCGCACGGGTACTCGCTGAAGGCGGCCGTTCGGCTTCGATCTTCCTCTCTCTCTCTCTCTCTCGGACGCTCTCCTCCTCGCTCGGCTGGCTGAAACTGTAATTTTTTGCAATTTAATTTCTTCTTTAAAGACCCGCCTAGAATAATTTGCCTGCTAGGAGGAAGAGTGAGTTAGGTTAAGGCGATATGAAAGGGTCATTCTATATATATTAAGACTTGAAAATGTTTATAAAACTGTTCTATAACCTGGGTGCACTGAATAATTTGAAATTTCAGCACGTGATTATGAAGGCCCTAAGGAAGAACGTGGTGCTCGTGAAATTTCATTAAAAAAAAAAGACATGTATTCTTGGTTCTAGTCTAAGATAAATAAGAAACATTTTTGATTAAAAATGAAATTTCACAAGCACCACGCTCTTCCTTAAGACCTTCATAATCATGTGCTGAAGTTTCAAATGATTTGGTGCTTCCAGTTTGGAAAAAAGTTTTATAAATATTTTGACGTTTTATATANTTTTATGCGCTTCTATGCTAAAACGATGGCAATACAAGGTGTTGGAGTGAATATTTAATTGACCTGGAAATCACAGATGGCGCAGGTGGTCCCTCTGCAGTTAATTAGGGCCCCAGAAAGCATGAATCCAGAGGATTTCTGGAGTTTTACTTCGATTTCTTTATAATTGTTGTACGAAAACGACAGGTGGAGTATGCCATTTAGTACAATACCCAATATAATTCAACACAGCTGTCAATATAAAAATGAACGTTGGCAACGTAGGTATTCAGACAAATCTTCTTTATCGACGTCCATCAAGTTTCTCGACGTCTTTCACTTCACCTTAAGGTGATCAGCTAAGGTGATTGGCGTCTAAGAGGTCAATCGTTCATGAAAGTATTCTCCGAACTGGGTGTACCAATATATTTCAAATTTTAGCACATGGATAAGGAGACCCTAAAGTAGGTCCTGAAACTCGCGAGATTTCATTTTTTATACAAAATTTTGAAAATATCTATAAACAAATTTTCTTTTAATTTCATGGATGTCAGGACCTTCCTTATAGCCTCCATATTCACGTTGTAATGATTAACTCGCATTTGAACGGGATAAAGGCAAAAAAAGGGTTGTATGCGCTTCTATGCTAAAACGATGGGAATACGAGGTCTCGGAGTAAAAATTTAATTGACTTGGAAATCCCAGATGGCGCAGGGTGTCCCTTTGCAGCTAATTAGAGTCCCAGAAAGCATGAATCCAGAGGATTTCTGGAGTTTTACTTCGATTTCTTGATATATTGTACGAAAACGACAGTTGGAGTATGCCATTTGATACAATATCCAATATAACATGACACAGCTGTCAATATAAAAACGAACGTCGGCAACATAGGCATTTAGAAAAATCTTCTTTATCGACGTCGATCAAGTTCCTCGATGCGTTTCACTTCACCTTAAGGTGACATGAAAATGGCGTCAAACAGATCTGGTTCGTAAAACTGATCTCCAAACTGGATGTGCCAAATCGTTAAAAATTTTACAACGGAAAATTAGAGGCAATAAGGAAGGTTCTGACAGCCATAACATTAAATTTTTTATAAAAAATAGTGAAAACGTCTCTAACCAAATTAAAAAAATTTGAAATATTATGAGTGTTAATATCTTCCTTATAGCCTCCATATTCACATTGTAAAGTTTGTAAAGATTCAGTACACCCAGTTCGAAGAAAAGTGTTACGAACGATTGATCTCTCAGATGCCGCTTTAGACTTCTCAGATAGCACCTTAAGACGTCCAATTCGTTAGATACACCTGTCAACCTCGACACAAGAATCGCGNAAAATTTTGAAAATATCTATAAACAAATTTTCTTTTAATTTCATGGATGTCAGGACCTTCCTTATAGCCTCCATATTCACGTTGTAATGTTTGAAACGTTTCGGTATACCCAGTTCGACGAAAAGTTTCACCAACGAAACCTCTTTGATGCCACTTTCACATCACCTTAAGAACGGAGAGTATCGAATAAAGGTCTGAAATCATGGATGTAGAATATATAGAGTCCTTATTCCGTTATCGTCCTTGTGAAGGTAGCGAAATGAAAAGAGCGAATAGAGGGGCTATCTTTTCTCTCTTTCTCTTCTGCAGTTAAATAGACTATCCGTGGGCTGTCGGCATATTGTGCCGTGCAATGGTTTCGCGTAAAAAGAAAGAGAAATTGTGGGTAAACAGCCCCTTTGTCCTCCTTCTTTCGGTGCCAACAAGTTAATGATCAGATCGGCGTGGGTGGTCCACACGTCCTACACCATAATCCACGTGTACAGGAGCATGCCGCGCTTTTTTGATTAAGTAGCAGTAAAAGTAAAACATCGACTTGTGCCACGTTAGCGCCTATAGTATAAGTCAATTGTATCTCCTCAAAAGACACCTTAGGTATAAGAAAACTTCGCCAAATACATTCTTATTTCTTTCTTGAATTGCGAAAATAATTCAAACGGTTTTCTTTAATAACAAAAGAAAATCAACTATTTTTGCCAAATATGTTAGTACCATCATTTTATCAAATACTCAAATCAGATATTATTGCCAATTTATTGAACATTTTGTTCCACATAATACAGGCACATCTATTCTAAAAATGATATTATCACTTAAAATTATGTGTTTATGAAAATCTACAGTTTTATATTTTCATCTAACCAAATGAAAATTAAAACTAAATCTGATCAAATAAAAAAATTTTAAACTCAATTTGAAAACAACATTTTATTTGGCGAGCACTGCAATACTGACGAGAAATCCAATGAGTACACTTCGTGTGCATGCCAAATAAATGGTATCAAATTGAGTTTTTAATTTTTTTATTTCATCAGATTTAGTTTTAAGTTTTATTTGGTTAGATGAAAATTTAAACTGTAGATTTTCATAGACACATAATTTTAAGTGATAATATCATTTTTAGAATAGATGTGCCTGTATTATGTGGAACAAAATGTACAATAATTTGGCAATAATATCTGAATTGAGTATTTAATATAATGAAAGTACTAGCATATTTGGCAAAAATAATTGATTTCCATTTGTTATTAAAAAAAAGTTTTGAATTATCTTTGAAAACGTTTTCNGTACATGGAAAGTATCGAGTTACCTATACACCAAACTGAAAGTTTTAATATCAAAACCGGTATTGAAAGAAAATCGAAATTGGTGTAAAAAGAAACTACAAATTATTATAATATAGATACCAGGAAAGTGTCAAGTTACTAATACACCAAGCTGAAAGTGTTAATGTTTAAACTGGTATCGGAAGAGAATTGAATTATTATACGTAAAAGTAAAAGACGAGTCGAGAGGGGATCTAATCCAATACCAAAAGAAGCAAGGTATCAGTTTGGAAGGATCGATACCAGAAATCACTAATCTAAATGTGTCGATCGATGTTAAAACTATGGAGGGACGATACCAGTATTAATAGAAAATTATGAATGAACTGCATATAATCTAATTTAATATCAGTACAAGCAAGGTATCCTTCTGGAAGGATTCGATACCAGGAATCGAAATGTGTTGATCGATGTTAAAAGTATGAAAGGATGATACCACTAAAGTACGAAACTAAAAGTGTCAATAGAAAAAAACTGAACTATCCCTAATCTGGACGGTTTTGATAGTGATAGTTAACCTGAAAATGTCAGTATCAACGATTTCTCTTGACAATTTGATGAAAATCTTCAACGAAATATTTATTTAACCTAAAAATGTCATCAATGTTTAACATGAAAAAATGTCATGTTATCGATGTCAATAATCTGAAAATCATCCAATTGTCATGATATAGAGGAAACGTCACATATACGTTTACTTCAAAATATCCTCGATGTTTATTAACTTTGTGGCCGGTGTCTCACTGAGCACGTTGTGTGCCACATAGAGCACGACGTGTCAACACGTCGAGGATGAAAACCAAAACCAATCAGAACTGCAACGGAAGTGACCACAAGGTTAAGCGCAATTCTAATTGGTTTTTCATCCTCGACGCGTTGACGCGTCGAACTCGGTGTGATCAGCGATCGTTGCAGTGTTGATCACAGCTGTGCTGCACTCGCTGCAGCGCGCTAAGCGCGCTAAGCGCAGTTCATTTTCATTTCGCGAGGGGCGCCATCGAAAGCCGTAGGAAAAGTCGTATGAAGGTTGACCTACCATGTGAGTGCGAAAATGGTTGTCCGTGACTGGAGGGACGACAATGACGATATGAGAATATTTCTGAGAGTGCCAAAAACTTTACCGTGCCATATCTTTACGTAAATAGCAGCAATGACAGACAGGTAAATTTTAAAAAATTCTTGATCTTTTGCTGGATTTTTTGAGTAGATCGAAAGTTTATTTCTTTATCTGTACCAATGAAGAAATTATATTTCCATTACCCCCACACCTGAAATAGTAGTATGGAACTCTGTAGCGTCTCGCTCGAACTCAACGCCCGGTAAAAAGGCTTGAATAGAACAGGATTCAATGTCTCACGGTTTCAACGTAAGAGAGATGATTTTTCTATTCTATTGAATACCTCATTTTTCTCTCTAAGTACAATTCCCGCAACAGGAATACATTTTCTATGAATCAATTATATTCTATTCCTCTTGTGTACTCTAATTTTTGTTCAATTCCGAAAAGAGGGTTATACTTCTGCTTTGTTTAATTCCTTCTAGTCCGGCAAAAAATATCGGTATTAAATTGTTTTGTATTCCGTTAAGAGGAATACATTATAGGAATGCCTGATTCCTTCCAGTTCATTTAAAAAATATATGCATTTACTTGCCTTGAATCCTTTTTTTGGAATATAAATTTGTAACTTCTAATTTAAATCAATTCCACTTTATATGCCCGAGAGATTAAGTAGTTGAATTCCAATATTTGAGATTGGTTTCATGTGTATTCTATTCTCCTGAATTCCAAACATAAATTTCATTAAACTTCATGCATATTGAAAAGTAATAATTAAATAAACATAACATTTCACATTTTTTATACGTGAAAGTGAGGAGAAGGTATCATTGGAAAGAATTGTAACTTACGCATTAATCAGTTACGCCTGTAATGTCATTATAC